ATAATATATAATAGTTGAAAGTGACCATACTTTACAAAATATTAATGTACAGAAAATTTTGTAAGTCTTTAGTAAATGTTTACAAATATGTTTCACACAAAAAATTTGAAATATTAATACAGTATTTTTGCCAAAAGTTTTTTGTGAATTTACAGAGTCAATCTGACTGACTAGTCTGAGTGAAATGTGATTTCATATTAAGAATAAAAATGCATTTTTACATTTTACAGTTTTTTATATTTTGTTTCCTTAACCTCTAGAACCTCCCAAATGAATATGAAACGTTTTTTTTTCAGTAAAACTTTATACCTTATCTATTAATTTCTCTACCCTAACACTAACTGTAGCTAAATTATCTTTAGGGAAAGTTGAATCATGTCTGACTACTAAACTAGCATAAGATATGAATAAATCACTCAGTGAGAGTTTAACTCGGGTTACACTAAACACAGAATCAAATTACATAATGCATGAGTAGCTCACATGCATATGTTGTGGAGAACTTTTTTTTATATAGGTTTTTCTTATCTAACCTAATAAGTTTTTCATTTTTATATTTTAGTTACATTTGTTGAAAAATATATATACCAGTAAATAAGAAATATACGTAAAAACAAGGAATTTACCTCATACCATTGCTTATAGGCCTGTTTGGACTTGAGGTGTTTTTAGCTTACTTGCCTAAGACTACCTTTTATACACTATATTAGTTGTCCAAAAATAATTCATGTTGCTTTCAAATATGCATTTTAAAACTCAAACAGAATGCCCCATAACTACTGTAACTTATTTGGCTTTCTAACTAACATATAAATAAGTTTAAAAAATTTCATTACTTAGTGAAATGGTGCCTTTGGTCTACACTCAATAAAATCTATTTAGGAAATGTGTCTTTTACTGAAATGAATTAACATAAAGACATCATATTCACATAGTTCCCAAATTGGCTTTTTTATTGATTATAAACGTGTAACATTGACAAGTAAGCATAAGTAAATTAATAATTTCAAATGCATGAAGAGTTGGGAGGAGCTTCTGTGATGGGTGTAAAAATTTATCGTTATCTTTGAAAATAAAAGTGGTGGGAGGTTCTTATTTTAAATTGTGGTTTGTCAATATCTATAGTTGGTGTTTTTAATTGGTGGGCATTCTAAAACATATATAAGGAAGAAAAATTCTAAAAAGGAGAATACAGAACATCGACATCAAGTAACACAAAGATATCAAAACTGAGAATTTATTTAAAATATTTCTTTCTTAAATTAAAAAATTAAAGCTTATATAATATCTTTCCAATTCTAACAGGACAACAGTCGAGACTTTAGTTTAAAGGAGCGACAGAAAGATATGATTCGTGGAAGCGTTGGAAGCGGCCCTCATAGAAAAATTATAATGTCCCCATTTATTTCTAATGATAACAAATTAAGGTAAGGAAATGATTGATCAGTTTTAATCAAGACCTAACATTATCAGTTTTAATTTGTGTATCTTTGTAATTGTTGAATCTGTTCAAGCAAACTTAACTGCAGTTTATCACTTGAAATTTCTCAGTTAGAAAATAAATTCAGATTGGATAAAATATTGGGTAAAAATTCACAAATTTAAATTTATACCTTTGGTTGTAGGACTGTTTTGATGTTTCATTTCTAACAGGATTTCCATGGCTAGCATGCCTGACTGTCAATCTGAGGGTTCGTGGTTTCTTCCCATTGCCACAAAATTACATTCCCCACTTTGGGGCTGTGGATATGTAATAAGAGTGACAATGATAAAATGTGTGTATTCAGCTAGAGTAACCCGAGGGAGATAGTTGTTGGTTAGTTGTTGAGAGAAAGGCAGATAAATGATCTACATAATTTTCATTTTAAAACCTCTATGGCAGAGTAACAAAATTGTTCAGCACAAAGTTTTCTTTTTTCAGTGTCCAGGGTCAGTTTTCTGCTATTCCAATGCCAACCTTGGAATTTGCCTCTCTATGCCTACGTAATGCACTCATTCTTATTCCTGAAGCTCCTTCACCCTCTTCCAGTACCAGTACTACAGTCAGTAGTCAGGGGGGTAGTATTGAGGAACCAGAGGGTACCAGTCCCGTGGAAGGTCAGCATGTTACAGTTAATGGACTACCAGCAAATTCTATTCAAGGAGCTGAAGTAGCCAACTTAAAGTATGTCTAACTTAATAATAATAATACATCTCAAAAGTTATAAACATGGAAGGTGCCTAGTGTTTTATTTTTATGCAGTAAAACTGTTAAAAGGATCTCATACAAAATACATTAACTTGTAAAATTTTCTTAAGTTGTAAAGGGTTTCAAATATGTTCCTTTAATTTAACAAAAATGTTAATAGTATCCAATATAAAGTACATCTAAATTATAAAAAATATTTTATGAGCTGTAAATGTAGAGAGTGTTAAAAATATTATATTTATGTAACAAATTATTTTAAAGTAACTAACTTAAATATACATTCAACTGACTACTTTTACGTTATGAAAGTACTATACTTATCTAACTTTAATCCAGCTTGACCCAAAGATTATGTGTAAAGAGACAAAAGAAGTAACTAAAAACCATGCCCAATTTATTTGTTGTGGGTGATGATAATATCAAAAGTAGCCAACTAAAAAATGTTTAGCATCGTGTATATAAGGCAACTATATTAGTTAAAATTGTAGGTGATGTATGATATGACAGAATAATTTTTGATATTTAAATATAAGTGTCTAGTCTAACACTGTAGCCTAAAACTATCCTAATAAACAAACCACACTTCTGTAGTCTAAAAATCTGCCCCCAGTAACATAGTCAAAAACTGCCCCAATGGTTTAGCCTAACAAATCAATCCAGTGGTTTAGCTTACTAACCCTAATAGTGTAGTCTAAAAATCAACCTTAATGGTATAAACAAAAAACAAACCCTATTGGCATAATTTAGAAGCTAACGCTTGCTGTATAGTTTTTACCAGTGTTAGATATTACACTACTGAGTTTCAGAGATCTGGTGTTTTTTAATATTAAATATGCAACACACCTGTTGAAAAGTGACTTCAAAACTGTTCTGTAACTTATAGGAACAGCATCCTTGTAGCTAGTGCATATGTTGCATTATGTCTGGGAGATATGGTGATGGCCCTGAAACATGCTGAAACACTCCTTAATCAACCCAGGATATCTGGAGCCCATAAGTATTTATTATTATATTTTTGAGTTAGATTGAGAGTGAGTTTTGTGTTGAATGAAATGTTGTTGTATGCTTAAGTTCAAGTTCTGATATTTTTTAACCAAGGTTAAATGTGAACTACTTTGGTATTTCAAGGTTAATGTATGTAAAAGCAACACTCGTAATACATTTTAATAATGGCACTCTGATCGGTATGTACTCAAATGTTATGATATGTGTTAATTTAGTGTTTTCATATGTTTATAGATTCAAGTTTAAGTTATATGTTAATTCTAATACTATAATTAGTATACATCCATGCCTTGTATTATGTGTTAATCCTAGTGTTGGAATATATGTGATTTCTTGTGTTTCAGTCTTGGTACTGTGACATGTGTTCTGTGTGTATCAAACAGTCTGGTCTATTAATTAAATGCGATGAACTTTTTTTCCCCCACTGATAAAGAAAGATCTACCTTTCAAAAGTGCTTGGATTTTGAGATTTTTTATTTTTGTCTCTGGCTACAGATATAATATATACACTCTTAATTTTAATAACTTCAAATCAACCAATGATCTCCCTATCATTAGACTTTGATTAATTCTTCTTTACAACAGCCACAAATGAGGAGTCTGGCCATTGTTAATATCTAATATACTTGACCTTTGTAAAGAAGTTAACCCATATGCTTCAACAGTTTCTTCAAAACTTGAAAAACATGAAAGTATTAATCATTCAAGATCTTCTTACTGTGGGATGGTAAATGTCTTAGTATGTTAATTTTTCAAGATCTTGTTATTTTGGAATGGGTAAATGTTTCAAGATGTTAATTATCCCTTTGTGTGGGAGGTCAAAGTTTGCATGGCATGACCTTTTACTGAGTACCATTCAACATGGTATTAAGTTGTCAAGAAATTAATGTCACTTTTTTTAAATGAAAAAACCTGACCAACTTATATATCAAAACAAAACATTTATTAAATCAAATAGTCTCCATTTTTATTGATGATGCTTTTCCATCTTACAATTAGGTTGGTAATGCCCTGATTAAAGAAATCACTTGGCTTTGAAGCAAAAAACATGTTGATGTCCTCTTTAACACCTTCCACATTTGCATTTGTTTTCCTATTAAGATGGTGTTGCAGAAACAAAAAAGATGGTAATCTGATGGTGTCATACCTGGAGAATATGGTGGGTGGGGGAGAATTTCCCAACCCAACTCCATAATCTTGTAGTTAGTGTCTAAACGTGCTACATGTAGACGTGCATTGTTGTGGAGAAGAACGT